ACAATTAGAAACATCACAGAACTAATGTCATTTGTATATGGAGTTCGTTTTATATATTCTTCTTCCTTTTCATTAGCAGGTGATTGTTCTTTAAATAATACAAAGTGATTAGCTAAAGGTAATGTAACGGGTTTACATTCATTCAAGCCAAATTTCTTCAAAATTTTCATGATATATGGAGCCTGATGCAGAAATAAAATTGAATTAAACCCATCTCTTTGAATTTCCATGCCTAAGATTCTTTAGTATTACCTAGGTCTTTCATATCAAATTCATTATTTAAAGTAGTTTTTACATCATTTAATAACTTCAAGTTGGGACCAATCAAAAGCATATCGTCAACGTATAGCAACATAAACACATAATTATTATTGTTTGCATTACCTTGATAGTACAAGCAATGATCAAATTCACTCCTTTAAAACCAATTATTTTAACAAACGAATCAAAACATTTGTACCATTGTCTAGGAGATTGTTTTAAACCATACAAAGAGAGTTTAAGAAAACACAAATGATCAGGTTTTTGTTTATTTTCAAAACCTTTAGGTTGAGGTATATAAGGAACAATTTTATGTCTAGTAATTCCATATTTTTCACACAAATCATCAAAAACATTATTACAAAACTAGAGGACGTTATCGGTTCTTAGATATTTTATCTTTTTGCCAATTTGAATTTCAACTTGCAAATTCCATATTTTGAAAATTTTAAAGGTTTCAGTTTTATCTTATAACAGATAAACACACACCTTGCAAGAGTGATAATCAATTATGAACATAAAATATCTATTACCACCCATTGTAGGATTAGTAGCAGGCCCCCATAAATCAGTATGAATATATTCCAAGACTTTAGTAGTTTTATGCATACCAGATGAAAAAGATGACCTATAATGTTTACCAAGTATACAGTGATCACAAAAAGGCATATTAGACACACATTTTTTTTCCAAATACACCTTTATCATTTAGCAGTTTAAGTCATTTAGTATTTATGTGAGCTAATCTATTATGCCACTTGTGTGTGTCATTAGTGTTGGTCAAATTTATAGAGAAAGTTGAATTTTTAACAATTTCAGTAGTGGTCACATAAATACCGTTTCTTTTAGTACTTTTACATGTGACAATAGCACCCTTAATCATTTTAAGCATGTTGTTTTCAATTTTACCAGTAAAACCATCAATTTCTAATGCTCCTACTGAAATAAGATTCATAGCCATTTCAAGAATATATCTGACTCCATGTAATTTAAGCACATAACCAGTTTCAAATTTTAGATATCACCAATGCCAACGATTTTATATGTATGATTATTGCACAAAATAGTATGACCACTTTCATATTCTTGCATATTTTCAAACTAGTCTTTATGTGATAAAATATGAAATGATGCACCAGAATCAAGTATCCATTCATTTAAATGTGATTTCACAGTCAAATTTACTTTAGTAGATTCTGAGTTTAATAACACATATATTTCACAAAATTCATCAGAAGAAGTAATATCATCTGCCTTATCGTGAACCTTTTCTTTTTGTTTGTTTTTCTCAACATAACAATCTTTAATGAAATATCTAGTTTTACCTCACCCATAGCACTTTCTACCTTTAGTTTTACTTTTTGATCTAGATAAACTTCTACTTTTCTTTTACTACTAGACGCGTATCCACTTTGGTTATCACGAATCCTAGATTGAGACCTACCTCTCATCATATGAACATTATCATTTTTTCTCTCGACTCTCTCGGCTCGCATTTTCATTTCTTTACTTCTTAACGAGTCTATGACAATTTCAGGTGTTAAAGTATATCTCCCGTATTTAATAGCATTTTTAACTTCTCTATAAGTTTCAGCGATAGCATTCAACAAAATTATTGTCTTATATTCTTCAAATACCTTTTCACCACAGTTAGTAATATCTTGTACGAGTTTATTAAAAACATCCAAATTGTCATCCAAATCTTTTGAAGAATTGATTTTGAAGTTAAAAAAGCTTTCAAGTAGAAAAAGTTTGTTTGGAGTTGACTTAAACACATAAAGTTCCTCCAATTTTTCCCAAAGTTCTTGAGATGATTTTAATTTACCAACTTTTCTTTATACCGCAATAGACAGGTGTAATATTATAGAAGTATATGCCAATTCATCTATATTCTCTTTTTCTTCATTAGTAAAGTTTTTTGGAAAAGAGTCATCAATAGCTTTGAAAATTTTTTGTTGAACAAGAATATCTTTTATTTTTTGTTGCCAAATTGAAAAATTTCTTTTATCATTAAAGATACCCAACTCAAAGTGATGTGTCGACATTTTACCAAAAAATGCACAGAACACAAATTCAGATATGTAAAAGTCACACATAGATTACACGGAGTAACAAGATTCCTATGGTTTCACAATAATACGCTACTCTAGAACCCCAAGGTTTTGTGAGAATCGAGTTCTTAGATCAAGAGAAGAACTAGAAAACGAGTCTGGGTACAAGTCAATTATACGAGATAACACAATGACGTTCAACAAATTAATGTCATGACGAATAAAAAATTTCACTTAGAAAATTAATTAGATAATGGAAAGTAATCCTAGATTCTATCAACAAGCAATGATTGTCAAGCAACAACAACCCTCAATCCTAATGATCACCCACATGATGATCTATTGTGCGATAATGTAAAGTTTCAACCATTTTATTTGAGTAGACTTGTCTGAATCCGTAAATTACGAGAGATGTGAATTTACTGCTTTAGAGCCGCAATTTTGGCCTAAAGTAATTCATTAAATATGTGGCAATTTCGACCGTTGATCCACCAAGGGTAAAATCGTCTAACTTTTTCTATGTAACTTGAAACAAAAAACTTCCAACACGAAAAATGTCAGCAGTAATGTGAGGAACAAACTGCCTGAAGACAACTCCTCGAAATTCGACGTCGCTGTCGAAGTTGCCATGCGCCGTCGCCACGCGCCACACACCCAGCGGCGCTTCCACCTGCACGTCTCAACCTCGATCTCCATTTCACCAATGAACTTCTGGATTGTCGGAAAATCGTGTTTGTAGGTGCAGTTTTTGTGCAAAAAAACTGGGTAGTCCATTTCTTCTGATTTTTGTCGGATTTTCACCACCACCAGCTCTAATACCAATTATGAAGCAAACCCACCTACAAATCAACCAAAAGCATCAATTAATGAAGGATTTGCAAAGAATTATTTCAAGAAAATCATAACCAAAAATCTGAAAATTGAATAAAGATTTTTCCCTTTTTATTAGGCTCAGAAACTTGATCCACACCACAAAGGTATCTCCAATTTGAAGGTTATTATCAGTCACAAAGACAAATTCACAAGAAGGCAGATGAAGATTTGTTTTTGCACTAAGCAGGAAGAGTTTTTCTCTTGCTTTTGGGTGCGTAAAATGAAGAGGAAAGTTTCCAATTTATAGGCTCATAGGGGAAAACGAACTCCCCAAAAATCTTGCAAGATTACGATTAATAAAAAACTGCAAGATTACGTTAACTAAAAGATAGAGCTCAAGATGAGATAAAGTGAATAAAGAAAGATAATGATTATATTTATCGATCTTTTTTGTGATTTTCAAATTACCCCTAAGTTGAATATTGAGCATTCGGCCCAATGGGCTGATTACCTCTAAATAGCCAACATAATTGGCTACTTCAATTGTGATATGGACTTAATTCTTCAATCTTGGGCTTATAGCCTATGAAGTTAAAACGGGTCTCGATTTTTCATCATAGCCTAGGGGGTTTGGGCATCAATTACCAAACATGCCCAACAGCAGTAAATGTGAGCAATGGCACCAATGTCGGCGTACCAGGTTTGCTGTTCATACGAGTTATCGGCTTCAGCAGACATCGCTGCCAACTCAGAGGGTGGTATTCGACCTTGGAAAGAAAAGTTATAGTACTGATAGCAATCCAAAGCTGTGTGACCTAGATTATCACATGGCAGATAGGTTTTTCACTATTTAATGGGGAGTGATGATTTGCAGATGTGAATGTGCACGAGGGTGGCTGGAAGAAGAAGCCCGCTGCAGGTATTAACGAGAACCTCCTTGAGGTTTAGATTTCTTTTGATATTAAGGTTCTGAAGTTCTAGCTGAAAATGCAAAATAGCTTGGTTGGACATGAATTGGAGCCTCAACAAGAGTTTCAAAGCTTAGAAGTTCTTATTGAAAGTCATCAATTGTAAAATCTTTGCCCCTGCAAGCAAAATTATAAGACGTAATGAAGGGAGTAAGAGGCTCGTAGGCCACCAATCAAAAAGCTGACAAAGTCTTGATCATCGACAGGCTTTATTATAAGATGTAATGAAGGGAATAAGAGGCCCGTAGGCCACCAATCAAAAAGCTGACAAAGTCCTGATCATCGACAGGCTTTCCTGCTGCTGTAAGTTGATGAGCAAGGTGCTTTGCCTCTTCAAAAAATTCTGCACAGATTTATTGCCTTGGATGATCGTTTTGGAGTTGTCTTTTCAGGAGTGCAATACGGGATCGTGATGAGGAGGAGAAGCGTGTTTGAAGAGAGTCTTAGACCTGTTTGGAAGTCTTCAAACTATAAATATTAGAGGACAAATTTCTCTGAAATTGATGCTAGCAACCAGCTTAAAACACAGTTGTCTTTCTTGAACTACAATGTGTAGGCAGGATTTGGAGATCCATCGGCTAAGGTTTTGGATGGACTTATCTCTGAGCCATCGATTATGTCAATAAAATCTTGACTCTGGAGAAAAAACTTGAAATCGAATACTCCATGGCAAGTATTTTTGTCCTTCAAGTTTATGGATGACAGGGTGGGAATTGGAGTCAGGAGAAGCCATATTTGATGATGTGTATGTTGTTGAATACGTGGTGCGGAAGCTGTGACCAGAATCAGGCGTGTGCCTATACTCAATCTGATACCATGTAAGAAAGTAAAAGCAAACTTTTGAAGAATGGCTTCCTTCCATTTGTTGGTGCTGATATCTATTTATAGGATTTTACAAGTAACTGAATTAAGTAAATAAAGGAGTATACCAAGTGATATAAACAACAATAACTAAAGATTACAACCTTATCTCAGATTTTGAACTAATTCAACTAAATGAAAACAATCTGCAGAATCTTGAAAATATGTTATTGACCATTGATCCGTTCTCCTTTGTCAGCCATCTCTCTAACACTATCAACAGCTTCCACTATCTTCAGAAGCTCAGTTTCTTCATCCATTCAGTTCAAATAATCTGCTGCAGATCTCATGCTGTTTTCATCGACTGAAAAAACATGTTTTCCTGATAGGTATGGCTTCAGTTCTGCTGCTTCAACTTCACTTTTGATATTTTCTCCATTGGCAATGGTTGATTCTCCACCATTGCTGCTGTTTCCAGCCTTCTCTTCAATTTCCTTCAGCTTCTGTAACTGTTCAAAATCACTTTGTTAAAAGCCATGTTCATTATGAATAATGCATCATCCCATGCCGCTTGTTAAGGGTTAAGTTCGGTTAAACATGAATATAATAAGTCAATAACCAATATGATATCATGACCAAAAATCTCAAACAAGCATTTAGTTCATCTAACGTTCATACAGGAATCTAGATCGTCTAAAGCTCAAACAAGCAGTTGCATCCGAAGATATTAGTATTGTCAAACACGTCACACTTTTACGGACCATGTTAAGGAAAACTTCCATTCCAACGTGTAAGGGTTTGAAATAATCCTCTCATATACTTCTTAAGAACTCAATACTGCTTAATTCAACAACAAATGAATGAAGAAAATCAAGATGGAGTATTCTCATTTATCATTGGAAATGATTGTTAGCTGCTCCATACAAATCAATGAACTAGCTTGTTTTGTAAGGTAAGCTAGAAAGTATTGTCCCGTAAGGGAGGCAGACGCAGTTAGCCTGCTAGATTGGAAGTACTAAAGGAACGATCAAACTTTCCTGTACTATGCACTAAACATGTCCTTGAAGAAGGAGAGTAAAATCGAATAGTTACTTGTATAAGCAAGGACTGCTTCTCTTTCTTCAAGACGTCGAATCTTGAAGCAAGATTATTGTAATTAGCCATTAGTATGCTGTAATCTCTCTCGAGTTTCTTCGTCTTCCGTCGGGCTCTCTTATTCTGAAACCATATTGCAACCTGTCGAGGCTTTAATCCCAACTCTCTTGCAAGCTGGACCTTCTTCTTCGGCTCGATTTTTGTTTCAGAATCAAAGATCGTCTGTAGCGACCGAATTTGTTCGTCGCTAAATTTTATCTTGTTCTTCATCTTCTTAACTGATGATGCTGTTGTATACATGTTTGCAGGAAACTTGTTGGGATTTTTCTCAAAATTCTTTGAAAATAGAAGCTCTAATTTAATTAGTAATGATTTGGATTTGGAGTTGTGCGCTCTGCGTGTTCAAGTACTTCTTGGCGTTTGATCTGGCAGAATCTGAATCCTAATATCGTACGTGTTTAGCTTTTCTTCTGTTAATGCAATAACTGTCCACTGATTAATTCCTTGTTGTCTTTAAACTGCTTTATCTTCTGTCAAATGATTCGTTTTGGACATAATTAATATAGTACGTTTAATTACAGATTTGGTCCCTAAAGTTATAGTAAAATTTCAATATGGTTCTTAAAATTTATTTTCTTCTAAACCAATGACAATTTCCAATCTGATCTCTGTATTGAAGATAAGATCTAAAAGATATGCACTGTGATCATATCTAAATGCTTAAAATTTTAGATCAAGTGATTTAACATTGTATTAGAGAAGGCAAAAAATATACATTTATCCCATTTTTTTATTTGGCATCTATGCCCTTTGCCATCCAAACAGTATGGTTCATCTCATTCAAGATTAAACATAACTCCTATAGAGTTACCAAAATGTGAAAGTCGGACACTATTCAACCGGAAGAGACTGCTCAGAATTTGTGTCTGGTTAATAAAGTTGAGGAGGGTGTAGTCTTATGCCCCAAGATTTTCAAGCACTAGTGTATAGAAGATCGATCGTCCTTGTCAAGCACCCTCGGACTAGCCCATGATCAAAGAGAAATATACAATAAATTTGTTAGATGTGTTGAATCTCGTGTAACAAGCGAACTCTTTATCATCAAATTAAGAATTGTATACGTGTTAGGCTTTCATTTAAAAAAAATGAATAGCACCAACATGTGAGGAGGACGATGAAGATAAAACATATAAGACATACATGAAACTATATCTAAAACAATCACATCCTACCGCACCCTATTACAACCATTGTGCACTAATGGAACGATTAATTCCATGACCATGTCGTGCTAAAAAAGCATTCACGGTGTGATGGAACCAATTTTGCTTCCAATCAATTTCACGCCTTATTCAAATCTACTTTAAGATATGAAGTTTACCAAAACGGGCTCCGGGGTTTCGTCATCTCGTTTTAGCATGATCAAACCTTGGTGCCAATAGGATTAGTGACATAGTGGCGCTAACATGATACACGTAGATTTGAAGCTAATCACACTAGCACATAGATCGGATTGGAACTGTAAAGAAACTTTATTGACTGAGCTCAAACAAAATAAACTTTAAAGACCAACTTAGAATTAAGATGCAACTTTAAGGACAAAATGAATATTTACTCTAGAATTGGTCGAGAAGATAGGGGTTGGAAATCTATAAAGCGGCTCAAGCTTGTCTAAATGAGCCGGTTGGTTGCTTGTCGTTTTCATTATATTCAATTTTGTCCTTAAAACAGTTAAACAAGCCTTTTGTTTGTGGTACATGAATCACGTTGTGCCATTATTTTTCCCAATTTTCAGGTCTAGAACGTGGTTGGTTTTCCGCTTTTCCTATGTATGGCGTATCGAGGTTATTTGGCGGTTAGTTGAAGGTTAGGGATCAAGTGAATTATAGTAAAACCCATAAATATAGAAAATAAAAGTTAATGATCGAAAAATATCATAGTATTATCATGCTTTCAACTATCTAAGTTAAATTTCGTTGTTGAGAAATTCACCTTTTTAGTCAGTAAAAAATGAAATTGACAAATGGATTTTGTTGGTGAAAGTCCTATCAAATGTTTTTCTGGAAGGAGTAAAAAGTCCTTAGAAATCACTAATAAATATCGTGACATTATTTCTAGCAATCAACAGCAATAGGTAATTTCCAATAGCCATAGTTATCGGTAAATAATCTATAATCATTTACTAGGTTTTGATATGTTTTACCGGGTATCAAATGGTACATACCATAGTATTTTTATTTAACTTTATGTCTATTTTGATGAATCGTATATCACGCAAGTACTTTTTACATTCATTTTATTAATTTTTGAGTAATAGTTAATTGAATTATTGTAATGCATATAACCCCAATTTGGAGTAGATTTAAATCATATTTTTAGTAGATTTTAATAAAAATTGATGAAATATAAGATTGAAAAGCTATGTATCTCCAAAAATTTATGGTTAAAATTAATGACTTTGATTAAAATCTTTTATCAAATTCTAATTTACACCAAATAGGGGCATAATTTGACCTCCGCGAGCTACATGTTCACCTTACCATGAAGAGCCCATATTAATAGTTGGCAAGTGATTATACTTTTCCTCATAATTAAATTAAAGCATTTCTATATAGCACTATCGGTATTGAGCACCGATTTAGGAGAAAATGGATCACTCATCCTTCAGTTAATTGAAATTATTACACCTCAAAAGTTGTGAAGCAAGCACAAGATGCAACGAAGGCCACATAGGTCCTCAGAAAATAAGCCATGTTGAGTGAGGGTATCTGACGTTCCAAACTTTCGCTTCAACAACATATTCATCTCTAATTTAGAAAAGAACTTTATTGATTTGATTAAGTTGAGCGTACTTGACCAAAGCCAAGGTCCAACATAGGGCAAGGTCAACGCTTATATAATAGCCAATTATCGGTTGGAAGTGGCAAATTGGTTTAACAACCCTTCTCCTATAAATTGTCTCACCCAAGTAACAAAAAATGTATGCATCAATAACACTCTAGTCAAATATCTAATTTGTTTCTCCCAAACCCATTTCCCCATATAACTTGTAAATACTACTGACTTAACTATCGAAGTTCCCATTGTCAATAACCATTTTCTTAGTCTGTGGATCTTGGTGTTCTAAAAAATTTTATCCGAGTGTACAAGATATATATAGATAGGTATTAACGTGGCAAAATATTTATTGATGAGAAATTTAAAATAACTTGGGGTTTTTTTTTTTTTAAAGATTATCAACAGTAAAAGCGTCATTTAGGGATCAATAGTAATTTCGGCAACTGAGACTGATGAAAAAATTAGCTTTCAGTTAAAATATTGTTTTCAAAATCTCTTGGCATTTTGGTTCACTTTTATCTCTCCCACTTCCAATTTTTTGTTTGATACATGGCCTGTAACCAGGGATAACTTTGAGAATGGCTGGAAAATTCTTCCTATTTTCCACAATAGCCTTTCCTATTAAAAGTACTATGTTGCCCTTAATGAAATTATTTGCAAGATCTATCTTATATCTTTAAGGATTTATCAATCAGGTCCTATATCAATATTTTTCAATCTTTTGAACACTTTTAAATATTCTTTATATTTTAATAATTTTTCAAAGATTATAGGTTGACTTTTCTTGGTTATGTATCCTTTAAATAATCCTTCTGAGATTTCTTCTTGTATATTTGTATGTTTAGTTATAATATCTTCTACTTTTCTTATTTCTCTGCTAGTTCCGACAGGATCAAATCCTATATTATTTCTACAATTATAATCTATATCTCTGTATATTTCTTCTATTTTTTCTCTACCAACAGGAAATATATCATCAGATTTTTTATCTAGTTTAAGTAAGAACGAAACATCTTTTTCATCTAGAAATAAAATAAGATTATTACCATCATTAGTAGTGGAAGTGGATGCTTGTGAATTGTTCATGAAAATAATTAAAGCATAAGCATGTAAAAATAAATGAATAACTTACAGTAATCAATTGGAAATAAACAGGCTTTCCCTCCAGTATGCTCTTATAGATGCTTTGCATGTACTTAATCAATCTTCTGAATCAAGTAAAGATTTAAAATGTTTTTGAAATCATTTGGGTCCACAACTGCTTCCGCAAAAAGGCTTTTCAATTAAGGTTGCATTTCTCACTCTAGAGAACTAGCCGTGTTTCCACAGACGCTATCTCACAGTATCCAGAGTCTCTGTTTTCACCTCTATCCAAACTCTTTTCAGAATCAAGTCCCTACTTGGAACGAAATTTTAAAAGATAACTCACACACAAGGTGCTACAAATTTTTGTTAGAAAACTGCCTTTTCCCCTAGCCATTCATCAAATACGGGTACTTTGGCATGGCTAACATCCATTCAAAATCATTATTTTGAAAATCTTTTAAAATCTCTATCTGTACTGCCGAGGAATCATGAGAAACTTAACGAAATCCTTTTATAAAAGTTTTGTTGAACATGACAAACTTTACTTTAATATTCATAAACTGAAATTGTACATGCTTACAAACTATATTTACATACCTTTGGTACTCACCTTATGAAGTTTAGAACTCCATAAGTGATTACCTTATTACACGCTTTCCTATCTTCAAGCTATCTAATATTTTTCTGAATACAAGTAGTGTATACAGATTACAAAAGGTTTCCCTCAAATGTGTTTAAGAGAAATTATTTCAAGGTATTTCGAGATGATTTTCTCCTTCCTTCATGCCCCCTTTTATAGGAGATTTTGGAATCTTATCTTGGACAGGTGTCTTCCTTTTTTCTTTGTTGGGTAGCTAGGCCATCTTATCTCCACCGAATTCTTCATTGTCTTCTTATTGGGTGGACCACTTCTTTTGAAATTAGATACCTTATCTTTTGAATTTGTCTGCCACTTGTAAATGGTGGTGAGGAGTAGTTACAATTATAGAGACTTTTCTTGTATTATCTTCTGTCTTCTAGTAGCCACGGTTTTTCTTTAATAAATTTCTTTATTAAAGTAGTGATAAAGGGCTACTTTAGTCACCATCACTTCTCCATTTTTGAATCAAAGAATTTTACAGGGAATTCTTCATTATTAAGGGATGCTTGACTCATATCTTCAACAACACAATATTCACAATGGTGATCACTGTAATTCCAAAGTAATTTGCATAATTCTTTAGCCATATCCTCTGATCCATGCACTTGGTTGGATATAATTGCTGATAATAAATGGTCGAGATAACAAATATCTTCTTTTTTGGTATCCATCCTTGCATTGGAATAGATAATACGATCTTCAGATTGATAAACCCATATTTTTTCTTTCTCAGTAATTATCTGAGTTACATGTTCAAATATCTCTTTATATCCTTTTGCTCTTCTATAGGGCATCATGTTAAGAATATCTTGATATCCATTTTTAACAACCTTTTGATTGGCTGGTAAAAAATGTTGATTTGTTAGTCCCATTTTGATCACATGGAACGATGGATGCATATATTCAAGGACAGGATCCCATTCCATTGTTGCTGAATGGAATCTAATGTATATATTTGTTG